AAGTTATAATAAATCATAATTTTAAGTTAAATTCAATCCATACATAACTAAAATCAATCTCCAGATTCAAGCGTCTCGATCCACTTGTGAACATAATTTTATTTTTCAAGTTGCACGTGTTAATAAGGTCATATTAAACAGATTTAATTTATTACGCATATTTTAATTTTCTAACAAATAATAATTTGTGTACCTTGAGCATCTTAAAAAAAAGTTATAATAGTGAGAGGTCAGCTGGGAGAAGAAATTTGGAGAATCAGGTTTTTGATCTAGAATAAATGTTTCCAAATTCACTTATAAGTTTAAGTTCTTGTAAACTGCTGCCTTAGTTTATCAAGTTTGACCAATTTTGATCATATTACTGCAAATGTTTTAGAGTTATTCATATTAAAATCTGTTGTACTCAGAAAAAGGGTTCAGAAGCTGAAAGACACGCACACACACACACACACACACATAACTGGATGGAGACAATTTGCTGACAGATGTAAAGTAAGATGTAACAACATTGGACAGACTAACAGACATTTTGTGCTCATGAAGTACGATTCATCTCGTACAGCTCACAAACACACACATAAAATGTGTAAAAATACTTATAAAATTAACCATCCTGTGAGATAGATGACACTGTTAAAGGAACAAAATTTCTGCAGTTTTAAAGTTTAGAAAATAAAAAAAAAAGTATGCCATAAATAAATTAGTTTTAAATTACAGTAGACTCCCAATTATCTGGATTGGTTATAAATATATTTTCTGGATAATCAAAACCAGATACGCAACAACAATTAAATAAAAACATGCAAATGTAACAAATGCACAAGTTTATTTACGGACATATACTACTTAAAATTTAAAGATTTACCGATAACAGAGAGGATTTTATATACAATTTAATACAGTACATACCAACTGCTTTTTGAAAAAGGATTCCAGTGGATCGTAATTAATATTTTATTGTCATAAACTTCAGGTTTTAACAATAATTGATTAATGTAAATACATTAAATTTTACAAATAGACCCTGGTTAATCCCCCTCCCCCCAGGTAATAGGAATCTACTGTGTACTGATCATAGGTGTTAATTAAGAAAACACCTTCTTATATGGACATGGTTAAGAAAAACCAAGAATATTAACATTTTAATATGAGCAGAGTCTCCTAAATATGAAAATGGTGATTAATTATGTGAGAAAACTGACTCTGATACAACATCCATAAATTTCTTACTAAAAAATATGTAAAATTAGTATAGAATGAATACCGTAAGCTACATGTTTGTTATTACATAAAACCACAAGTGTCACAAAAATAAATTGTGAAAGACGTGGCTCCTTCCATTGCTCAAATATGAAAAGGATTATAATATTAAATTCTTTTTTTTACTTACTATAAAAAAAGGGTTATTTAAAATAGTTCATATCGTAGCATTAAAGTTAGTACATGTGAGTATGTGTAATGTTGTAAATAATTTCTGATTATAAATGACTATAATTTTTTATTATTGATTTTCTTCTCCAAGACACAAGTAGGAACATGCAATATGAATTTAGATAATTATTCCTATGGAATTTTAATTCTGTTCAGAACAGTAGAAGACACAACATTAATTTTGTTGTACATTTTATGAATGAATTCAGTATTTGAAATTAAACTGTAATTTATGATTTGAAGCTTTTGCAGTGACCAAACTCAATAAAATCTTCTCACGCTCTTAGACATGTCTATTGATTATGTGAAGAGACCTACATTTTGGGAACCATCCCCATCATTAAGAGTTCTGATCAGGACCTTTATTGTGGGAACAGAGATGGTTCCCGAAACGTCAATATCTTGATGTTACCAACTTGCATGGCTGATTTCCATGAAAAGGTTTTATTAAACTGTAATTTAACTTCAGATCATGTTTTCTATTTTCTTAAACATGAATCTTAATAAAACTGGTGTGATTGGAGGCAGAACCATTATCCTCTTAAGTGCACATGTGCACGTGTACCATGTTAAATAATGTAAAGAAAATTAATAAATATTATTACACAAAGTCAGGAATGATATATTCACTAACCCATTTCTCTAGTTGAGGGCACAATAAAAGTTGGTTTCCAATGTACTCTACCTCTGTAGTCCTACAGAAATCAAGAATCAGGTATCCTTTCTTTGCATTATATTTTACTCAATCCAAATGGTGAATCCTAGTATTATGTACAACATTTTATAAAATCTTGTATTTGAGCTTTCTGGTTGTGTTTTATATTTACTATCCAATGATATTTTAATTTCCATTTACACAACCGTGTTACGTATGTCATTTTGTGGCAACACATTTCAATGCATATGTCATCTGCAAGTTATTTTTCATGATGTAAAAACTACACGTACGTCAGAATATGTTGTCATAAAATGATATACGTAACACGGTCGCGTAAATTGAAATAGACGTCTTGTTCTTGAACTCAAGTGTTCTGTAAATACATTTATGAAAGCTGACTAGCCTGAAAGGGATTCTGTCAGGAATGTGTTGTGCTTAACCATTAATTCTGTATTCACCTGGTAATTATAATAAAAAAACTAATTCAGAAAAACCTGTCTTTTACCAAATGTGAACACTACTGGAAAGAATAAATAAAATAAAAACAAATCAATTAATGTATAAACTTCTATCAAGTCTGTCTCCATCACTCAACTGAAGATTTCTCTGCCTCATTACCTGTGATGAGGAAAAGTTAACGTACTCTACCATAGGTAATTTAACTGGCAACTAAAAGCAAACTTTGTTTCAGTTGGTACGTGTGGTTTGATGGGTCGGATTATGGTTTAGAAAGAAATTTAGTTTTCCTCATCAAAGGTGTGCGCTACACAAATGAATAACAACAAAACTGGTTTATTGGAATGTGATCTACCTTTGTTATTGTGCTGAAAGTCTCCTACTTTTGTTGCTATAACTATAATAATAGCAAGAACCACAAAGTACTACCACAACTGTGGAAAGAATCAAATTGCCCGTGTTCACAAAACACGTGACAAAACCGAACGCATTAACTTCTGAGGTATCTCTCCTTTGTCAACATCATACAAAATTGTATCCAATATTCTTCCGGCATGTTTAAAACCATTTATGAATAAAACTATCGGGGACGATCAATGTTGATCCTACCACAATAGGTCAGATGTTTTGCATTCGACAAATATTTGAGAAAAATTGGGAGTATAATTGATCAGTACACCAACTATTTGTGGACTTTAGGAAGACATGTGACTCAGAAGAAAGAATTGGGAGTATAATTGATCAGTACACCACCTATTTGTGGACTTTAGCAAGACATGTGACTCAGAAGAAAGGTACTGGCATTTTGATGGAGTTTGGAATACCAAAGAAACTTATTAGATTAATCAAGATGTGTATGGATGGGGTATCTAATAAGAGTTCATATATGTAACCTTCTGTCAGATCTATTCCAAGTGCACAATGGCCTAAAATAGGGGGATGCTTCACTGAATGTATATTCTTATAAAATCAATATGTATATTAGTCGTAATCGACCGGCAAGAGTGAACATTTCAGACTCTTCACAAAAGTTGACATTGTGGGAAATCCAGCAATATTATTTTATGGTAGTCTCCAATGGCACATTCTCCACGCAAAAATTTAATCTAAATCAGTCAAGTTGTTCTCAAGGTTAATCACATGGACAGACATGACTAGCCCATAATGTTTCCCTTCTGTACACTTTATAAAAAAATTAGAATACTAATAAGAATAACAACATTAAAAAGAACAATGATCTCTGGCCTCGTTGTTGAAACGAGACCCATAAGATGTTCTTCACTCACACTACAGCGTGATGATGACCACACCCCTATCTAGTGCTGAGGTTAAGAATGAGCAGGAGCTATACACCCCTCCACCCAAGTGCCTGCATGGCGTATAGTGGGACAGCTCTTTGTTTTTAATTTCTTGAACAGTTCAATACAGTGGTTCTTAAATATGGTCACGACGGGGGTAGAGGATTTTTCCTCTAGCCTCTGCGACCAGACCGGCTCTGGAGCCCACCCAGCCTCCTCTACAATGGGTACCGGGGTCCTTTCCCGGGGGTAAAGCCGGCCGGGGCGTGATGCTGACCACTCACCCCATCTAGTGCCGAGGTCAAGGAAGAGAGGAGCTATACCTCCACTCCCCCCAAGCGCCTACATGGCGTATAGTGGGACAAACTTTACTTTACTTACATGCTTAGCATTTAATTTTCTTTAATTTTTCTAATGCAACCGCAGTGAATTGCTCGTGGCTGAATTACTCGCCACAAGAAAACATTTCCAGAGAACCACTGGTTTAACATCTACAGATTCTTCAGGAAAAACTCTGAACCAGGAAGCTAAAACTTTGAGCACATTAGACCTCTTACAATATGGGAAGCATTCTGACAAAGTTAATAAAATGTAAATTTGTATCACATTAACCTATTTTTCACACAATAAATGGGGTGGTATATTTTCATACCTCATAGTACCATCAAACCCAATAATCTACACATACATGCTTATAAAATAAATCACTATTGCCATCCTTAAGAACTATAACAAGCCTTAAATTTGAAGGTCTATTAACCATGGTGTATTATTAAGATGATAAACTTCGTAAGATTTGAGGTTTTCACGGCGGTGAGTATGAAGATTTCGGTCTTCTGGGTTGTTGTTGTGTTGTGTAGTGTAGTCTGGTCGATGTTAACCAACGTTCATCTGTAATCTGCCGCAAACCGCATGTGGCTAGCTCAATTTGTTTGCGCGCCACAATTTTTCAAAACCCCCGAAGGGACTTTGTGGACACGCTGTATATATTAATGCTGGGATACAGAAATGTGTAACTGTACTATTTTCATGAGGTTTCAAGTACACTGTGTATACATACGAACACATCTCGAAACAAACTTCAATTAAAGATTAATGCATAACATCCAGACACAAAATTAATTATATTTATTATAATTTACTAAAAGAACATAACACAAAATTACAGCAACATAACATGAATGTATGCCTGATATAAAAAATATTGTTACCATAAGCAAGTTCAATTGAGTAGCTCAACATATAATATTCTTAAAATAATTATTGAGCCACTTCAAAATTGATTGCTACATTAATAGAAAATTGCATGCTCATAATAACATTATCACTAAAGGACTTCAGTGTCACTGCACGTTTAATTCACATTGGAGGTTTATTCTATTTTTCCAAAGTCTGCTAGCTTCACTATTACTCTTTTTTTTAGTGTTTTCACTAAAATTAATCTGTTTTATTTGTTCTCATTCACTTCCCTCATTATCGACGGTTTGCACTTTGTATGGCGATGCGTCAAATGTCCGCTGTGACTTTCTTGTCGATCTACTATATCCAGTTGAATCTGATGAATTATTCTTATCATTGCTACTGTCCAAAACTTGTGTTACATTACTGTTATTGCCAGTCTTAACTACCTTTACACCGCTGAATTCCCCCGTAGTTCTCACCAATATTAGTTTTGGTATAAGCTTCAGAGGCGAGCTTTCTCCACTACAGTTTCCTTTATCCGACACAGTTTTCACAGAATCGCGCGTACGATCTTCTTGTTTTCGCTTTGTTACTTTACTACTGTGGGGAAAATGAACTTCTCCATCATTCCTTGGGTCCAAACACTTATCAGAAAGATCGTATATAAAGTCCTCTCGTTCAACTTTTATCCTATTCCGGACTGGCCTTCGTCTTTTTTCAGATTCACGTGCTGCGCTCATATTGTTTCCGAGTCTATTTTGTCTACTGGTATTACTATCATGCTTGACACCTGAAGTCTGTTCAATTATGTTGTTGTTGTGTTGTGTAGTGTAGTCTGGTCGATGTTAACCAACGTTCATCTGTAATCTGCCGCAAACCGCATGTGGCTAGCTCAATTTGTTTGCGCGCCACAATTTTTCAAAACCCCCGAAGGGACTTTGTGGACACGCTGTATATATTAATGCTGGGATACAGAAATGTGTAACTGTACTATTTTCATGAGGTTTCAAGTACACTGTGTATACATACGAACACATCTCGAAACAAACTTCAATTAAAGATTAATGCATAACATCCAGACACAAAATTAATTATATTTATTATAATTTACTAAAAGAACATAACACAAAATTACAGCAACATAACATGAATGTATGCCTGATATAAAAAATATTGTTACCATAAGCAAGTTCAATTGAGTAGCTCAACATATAATATTCTTAAAATAATTATTGAGCCACTTCAAAATTGATTGCTACATTAATAGAAAATTGCATGCTCATAATAACATTATCACTAAAGGACTTCAGTGTCACTGCACGTTTAATTCACATTGGAGGTTTATTCTATTTTTCCAAAGTCTGCTAGCTTCACTATTACTCTTTTTTTTAGTGTTTTCACTAAAATTAATCTGTTTTATTTGTTCTCATTCACTTCCCTCATTATCGACGGTTTGCACTTTGTATGGCGATGCGTCAAATGTCCGCTGTGACTTTCTTGTCGATCTACTATATCCAGTTGAATCTGATGAATTATTCTTATCATTGCTACTGTCCAAAACTTGTGTTACATTACTGTTATTGCCAGTCTTAACTACCTTTACACCGCTGAATTCCCCCGTAGTTCTCACCAATATTAGTTTTGGTATAAGCTTCAGAGGCGAGCTTTCTCCACTACAGTTTCCTTTATCCGACACAGTTTTCACAGAATCGCGCGTACGATCTTCTTGTTTTCGCTTTGTTACTTTACTACTGTGGGGAAAATGAACTTCTCCATCATTCCTTGGGTCCAAACACTTATCAGAAAGATCGTATATAAAGTCCTCTCGTTCAACTTTTATCCTATTCCGGACTGGCCTTCGTCTTTTTTCAGATTCACGTGCTGCGCTCATATTGTTTCCGAGTCTATTTTGTCTACTGGTATTACTATCATGCTTGACACCTGAAGTCTGTTCAATTATTACAGAAGCTCCATCATCTGAGGTCAACACGGGAGATTCTACTGAACTATTGGACGTCAGTGGAGATGTAGAGTCAAAGCTAACATATTCAACTACATCATACGGCTCTGGAGAAGAGGCTGACCCCCTTGATCGATCATGTTCACCGTTCATTGCCACAGTGAACAACTTTTGTGTGGCTTCTAAATCTTGATACAAATTACTATTATTTGAACCAAAAATCACCTCTAAAACCATCTTTCGTAATGCCGTCTGCTCCTGAACTTGGGACATTGGTGGATTTTCCTCTTGTAATGTACCGCCTTCTGTAGATGCTGGTACCGGATTCGCGTGTGTATCTATTTCGGATCCCACATCTTGCATTTCTGGATTATGTGAATCATTTTCTTCAACATCTGAAAAATTAGATAAGAGGATAAATAGATTTCTGTAGATTTCACTTTAAAAACAACATTAAGTCATTCTAACTTGCTATCAAGGACAAAAGAACGCAGAGAAACTTTTGTTTTCGTGAATATATAAAAAAAAACTTCATCAGATTATTTTTTCAGATAATGATCAGGTGATTATGTATCAGAATTGCTACAATATTCAGCATGATTCAAAATACTTGTGCGTTAATGAAACAAAACTACATACGCAATTCAAACCGTTATGCTATACGTACCACACGATTTATAACAATATCGCGGCACTAGTCGACATACTACTGACAGACATTGCCTCTTACCTGTCACCGCTAGTTTCTCGATGTTCTGTTGATATTCTGTAGTTAACAGTTTCTTTGGAGGTGAAGCTTCGGACGTTTCCTGGCCATAACATTCATCATTCATGAAGTGTTTCCTGGATCGCAACTGTAATGTTGTGATTACAGTATCGTTACTTGCCTTTTTTACTTGCGAATCGGTTGTGTCTCTGACAACAGTCTTATTTACATAATCTCTTTCCATCTCATCAACTGTTGTAGTATCGGTTGTGCCTCCAGCTGTAATCAGTGTCTCTTGTCTGACAGGTATGTCTATCGCAACATCATCTGCTGTTTTCCCTTCTACAGGACATACAAATAAATCACTTTCTTCAGCGTCTTCCACGTCCACCACAGAATTCTGAGCATCATTCGGAACAGCTTCGATACTAACATCAGAATCGGAGGTGCTTATTCTTTTGCTTTCATCATATTCTTGCAGTGACCAATCAGAAGCATTACAAGTTGTGTCATTTACTGTGATTTCCATATCTTTTGATACACCATAATTGTTGCTCAGGTCGATATTAGTAACTTGCGCCACGTCTTGTTCGTCGCTCTGACTTTTGTTTGTTTGTTCTGTAGGTTCATGTACGGCCGACTCACTTTCCACGTCGCTTATCTGAGTTTCTATATATTCCACCATGGTCTGTGCTCTATCATGTTCCCCCTTCCCTAGATGCATTTTGTTAACATGCGTAACGCAGTCGTATTTAGAGAAGCACTTAAATGTACATTCAGTACAGCGGTAACGATTCCAGCCTATGTGGACTGCAACGTGTCTCCTAAGATTTGTTAGTTTATTAAACTTCTTCTGACACGGCAAACACTGCAGACGACGTATGTTGATCATACTTTTCATTCGATTCTCCATTACCGGAGAAAACTGTTCTTCCTTCTTACTACTAGCTGAAGGAACAGATTCATTTCCTTGCTTATCCATTACTTTCTTCGCTTCATCTTGTAACTCGCCGCCATCACTCAATGCAGCAGAGTTTGTAAAGACCTGCCTTAATCTGCTCTCGTCTTCTTGTCCCGCAGTTGTACTATTTTTCTCGATAAACATCCTGAAATTGCTTACGTGTGTATCGATACCTTTCTTTTCAGTAGCATATGAATACTCTTCACTTTGGTTGGCGTTATTTAAACCACTATCTTGGACTGATTGTATGGAAGACCTGTCACTGATTACATTTCCCTCTGTTCGAACAAGATGGATATTAGCTCCATCAATGGTTTTTTCCTCCACATTCACGGCCTCTTTTTCAATAGATTCTGTAAAGTGACATACATTTATTCCAGAACTTCCTTCTACTTTATCACACGAGAGATGAAGGTCCTTCGTAGAGATACATGTGACAGGTTCTGTTAAATGATATAATCTGCTGTGACCTTCACAGTCTTCACTAAAGCTATTATCAACTTCATCGTGGTTACTTCCTTCCTCTGTATCATCATAAGACATTGGATTTTCGTGTATTTCTGAATTACAGTCCTGCTGCTGAGATGAGGGACCTCCTACCCCTAAAACAGAACTCACACCTCCAGGCCCTATCCCTGTCTTACAATAATCCCTCCTAATTTGAATCTCAATTCTTTTCTCAGGAATATCCTTCTTTACAGTGTCAGTCCTACTGCCACTGCAGTGTCGAGTCCGGTGGTAAGAACCACTGGGAGATGAGGCAAGCAGTTGGTTTGATATGTCAAGAGGCACAGGAGACGGAGAAGGGGTCACAATACTCTTTATTCCACTTGCATTTGATTGCATACTTTCTGACAGCACGGATGAAGGCGTAAAACTACTGGCATTGCTCTCTACACATGTGATGTCGTTTCTGGTATTTTCTGTACGAGGAAGATGACGATCTGTTGACGTTGGCAATATTTTTGTGCTGGTAATTCGGTTATTAGTGGTGGATGCTGATGTGGAGGGAGAACGGCGTTGTGCCTTGATGTTGTTCTTAACAGCTATTCGTTTTTGACAAATTTGAGAATGTGAATTGAGTGCTGCGCGCCTCTCAAATCGTCGTCCACAACCTCCACACATTTGCAATTCAAGATCTTCCTCAAAACTATTCATCCATGCCTATAAGAACAAAAAAGGAGAAAAGATTGTTAATTGAAGATGCCGAATTCGAAGATTGTTTGTGGTATACATTTCACGTCTTTCATCCCATGTGACAAAATACAAAATGTTCAGAAATTACATTCTATATTATGATACTAATCCAATATCTGCCTGATGCGTCAGAAAAACCACAGAAAGAACTTTTGCATTAGCCAATACAGACTGACTCAGAATTTATTTTGGACATCAGTGAAATATTCTGATCATAATAACTCAATATATTCCTCCACTCTGAAAACTTATCCTGACCTTCATTCCTGCCAGTCCCTTAATCCTCTCATCCTTTTCCTTGACTTACCACACCCATGCACTGTGCCCAACACAACAGTATTATACTCGACAAGGTAGTTCTCCTTGTTCATAAATCAATAAATTTAGCAATTTCTATTTTTATTTTCTAACAGATTGAAATAAATAATTCCCTGTATTCTCTCTTGCCACCGTCATGTTTATAATCCACAATTTTGTAATAACACACATATGGTTTATGTTGCACACCAACTGGTGTATTATCCCACTGAGTCACCCATATGCGCTGGGAGCATATGGGTGACTCAGTTCACGTGCAACATAAACCATAAAGTATTGGTATTACAAAAGCGTGGATTATAAACATGACATAAAGGAGCAGGACACCATCTTCATACACATAATGTTTTTGACAACACATTGTGGTATGAACTATATGGATTTTATGGACTGATTTAATAATGCCATGCCAATGATGATGATGACCTCGCAAGGTTGAAATGCGTCTGGCACAATGTGTTTTAAAATATAAACTGCGACTGGTCTTCAGAGTGTCTCAAAAGACAATAAAGTGAACGTCTCCCGGCTCACCAGTGGCGTCTTTTGTTACTCGAGATCGATCATCCCGTGTAAAACCTCAACCCCACCACTGCCTTCACCCGTACATTCCCTGGAAATTGGAGTTCCATGCTCACCGACCTAAATCCCCGCCCATTAACAAATTTTCCTAAAATCCCTTCCGCACTTATTAAAAAGATTTGAAGCTGCAACCGTACGAGCGCCCGGCACGTCACTGGGTTTGACCCGTGACTTAAACAAACAAACAAACATCGAGACGAGAGTGTGGAAGGACGGTTGCACATGCGTAATGTCCCCCTAAGTACTGTATCCTAGTGTTCGCAGATTTAGTCTTGATACTCACTCATTCTTCCGTCGTCTTTATGTCTTTGATTTATACAAACCTGATTTTCTTGTTGAAGTCTTTGTTGTTCTTCGCGTGCTTTATCAGCTTCAGTCTGTTCATCACCACCAGCTGATTTTTTATTTAAGTTCTGGCTTTCATAAACAGAAACTTCTTTCCTAAATGCTTTATTCACAATCTGCGAACGCAGTTTTCGTACCTGAATAGTAGTCTTGCGATGTACTGTAATGTTAAATGACAGTTTATGTAATTTGCACAATAATCAACATTGAACAACAGACTGTCTTGCTTAGTTGATTATTACACAGCATTATACCAAGTAATACTTTCACATAATATTTTGTCTGCATTAGAATGGTCCCAAAGTTATCAATCACTGTTTAATGTACAGCTGTCCAGAAATCAAGATCTTATTTCTTAATTCAGTATACTTATTTTTTAAGAGAATGTTGAAAGTGTTTTATTTTATATCAGCCTTAAATTTCAGTCAAAATTACTAATAGATTCCCACAACTTTAAAAGTTGTTAATATTCACCATAAAATTTTAATCTGGAGATGTTTAACCCTTCAGCGTGGGAGCATTTAAATCCCAAGTCTATACCGTGCTGTGGGAGGAGTTTCTGCTTGCGGACTTAATTTTGAGCTGAAAGTGCATCATTTTACTTATATGGGCACAACTTCCCTAATAATTGACGAATTTTAGTGAAACTTTGAACAAAATGTTCACAACACACTATGCTTTATAGAAAGGTAAAAAATTTACCTTAAAAGTGAGAGGTTCATGTTCTCCCATGTAAAAGCAATAGGATGTGCCACACTCGGTAAACTGCTCCCACTTTGTTCACCGTCATTGTATTCATTTTCAGATTCGTCACATGTAAGAAATTCACGAACAGGTAAATCATCGATTACACTTGATTCATCATCTGAATCGAACACGCTACTTTCGGAATCAGTGAGAGGTTCGTCTACACTTCTAGCAATGTCTTGAGGAGACAAAAAACGCCTGCTACTCGAAGCCATATTCACGGCTGACTGACGGCAGATATGTACTATAGAATTCTGTTCTTACCAAGGGGAGAACAGAGAATGCATTGACTAAGGTCGTTGACATCATATACCGTTAGAAAGGTTGGAATGTGTCCTACACAGCCGTCGAAAACTTAAATATATTACTCCATTTGTCTTCCCTAGAGAGAGCCACAAAGCAGACGCTGAATGCAGTTGAGTTCAAAAATCGATCTATATTTCTAAGTCGAAAAACACTGGTAAAATCGATCTGTCAGAGTCACGTTATATATCAATCGATAGCCAGCATTTTTCTCAACATGGCTACTGGATCCAGAATACATAAAATACAAGGTCAGTCGCTACGAAGAAGGAGAAGTCTTAGCGCGCATTATGCGAGCAGTGCTCGGCACTCCACGCCATGGGATGACTACGTCATGACGAGCGATGTTCGGCACTCCACGCTGAAGGGTTAATAAGATATACACAAAGTTTTATCTTGTATTTCATGCAACCAGAATTCCCGAGATGTCATTTTAGGCTTCTGTTTCAATTTCGGCTGTGAAAATGACATATTGTGGATGACTGTGAACAAATTTTTGGCATTTCATGATATGCATTATGTAAAAATTTCAAATAATTAACTTTTTAACTGCTAATGAATGACATTACAGTGGTATTCCCACAAATACTTAAGATTTCTACATTTAAGTCCGATTCAATTTTCACACTGTAATACTTATTACTATAAAATGCCATGGCTGCATAAAAGGGAATTATTTAAAATGTTATTTTAATTTTTAGACTATATTCTGCCAATATATTCACTCCCAGTTTGAGAATCAGCAAATAAAAATACAGTAATACCGTCTCATGCAATCTGAAAGAAGCCATGGTTACCACTTAACTTAAAAACAAAGATATATTTTACAACAACTTGTGTAAAAGAAAACACAAAAACCTCTACATATAATCCACAGATGTCCTGCCCTTCCACAAAAAAGACTTCGAAACAAATGCAAGTGCCTCAGTATTATAAAATATGAGGTCACAATAATGCAAAAACCCATGGAAACAGGCTGCTAGCAGGACGACAAGCTCCACAGCAAAATAATTACATTTTTTAAATAGTTCAATATTTGGATTTTTAATGTTCATAAAAAAAGCACAAAATGGGAAGTTTATTGCATACAAAAATATCAGTCTTACTTCCATAGTGTCAAAATTATTCTAACATGGTTTTGATTAACTTACAAAAGCTGAAAAATTAGAAAATAAGTAAAATGTAAAAAGCGAATACTTTCGTCTTAAAATTTACCTTTGTACAGATGTCTGTACACACTCCATGTATTACAAAATGTGTTCTTACAGCATGGACAAGGATAGCACATTCGGGACGTCACGTGAAGGGACTTCATATGATGACTCAGTGTCTTACGAGTCGAAAATCTTGTATTGCCTGCAATCAAATCTTGAGTGAACTAAAAGTTTAAATATGACCTTCAGATTATGACATGATTTCTTTTAAAATTATGAATACAGAGATTTATATGTTTAAACTTATTATAATTTCCACCTCTAAATGCAACATTTGTATGACAAACATTCTGAAGAAAATGTTCTTGAAACTAAAGTTCTCTCAAGCAAACCATGAACTTATTCTTCAGTTTTATTTTTTCATCCCTAAAACATCTGCATTCAACCCACAAGACCCAACCACAGACTATAACAGTGGAACTACATTATGTTTCTTAATAAGATATTTTTCATGCTTATAATCGATAATTTCTGTTGTTTCTGAATCTCTGCAAAAAAGATATATCACGAGTACTTTCAATTTCCTGAACTTTATACACATAAAAGCAATGATTCAGAACCCGGCTCTGTTCTCATTTTTAGACGAGGTCGATGTAATCCAGTGTTCATTTGAAAGAATTCTTCTTGTATATCAACTGAAGTGAGCAGGATATATTCTGCTAGAGATTTTTAAACCTAAAATCCTAAATCCGTGGCGTAACAGCTCCAGAGAGCCAAAGCCAACTAACTTGACTGCTGGCCTCACGTTCAGATGCCTAAGCAGAGGTGAACGATCATCCAACCAGATATAGGGTGACGTGTGGTCAGCACGACGAACCCCCAGCCATTGCTAGCTTTTAAAGATTTAAAAATTAAAAGGACCAATATTAAATAAGTTCAAAACTAAGGAATATTTCAGTCTTCAGAGTAGTCCCCAATATGTGAGACTTCTTTCTTTATTTCTTTCCGACCACCTCCACATCTCAGTCTCCTTGGCCCTTTCCATACTTTCTTGTTACTAAAGCCCCCGTCTAGTTTGGTCCATTCAAAATCGAACAGCAAGATCCCGTAGGTGTATTTCGTATACAATAAACAATCTTGGCTACCTTTAAAATAGACGGCTAAAACCGACAATCTAAATATATCACTTTTCTTTCTTAAACAACTTCACAAACTCACGTTAAACAGAATTATATACAAACACTTTGTGATGTCAAAATATGCAAAAACCACTACACAGAACTTGTTCCTTAGAAACTATTCCAATCAATGTCGTATGATAATCTCATGAAACAAATGCACCGCATATGCAAATTATTCAGTGGGTCACTGTACAGAAAACATTTTGCCATGCAGCATTATTTCTGAAGACTTTTCATATCGGCTGTGTTACGTATTATAATACGTGCAGGAATATTTTCCCCGAGGTCTGCGCTTACTTAAGTATCACTTTCTACAAGCAAACATAAATAAAATACCAAACACCACGCTGGTATTTATATAATATATACAGATTTCTTTACCTTTGCTTAATAAATATTTAAATATTTGTATTAATTAAAATTCCCCCACTTAATGGTACCTGCACCTTGTCGTGGTGGTGGGGCTTGAGTACCTCAGTGACCCCAAGAGCTACTGGTAGGGCCTCCCTAGCCAGATTGGTCGAGGGGGAAAGGTCGGACTAAGACAGGTACCCTGGTCCTCCAGGTTGGGGGTTGGTCGCAAGGCTAACAACCTTGCGCCGTAAAAAGGAAGATGTTACGAAACCTCGATCAAAGCCTCGGACAGACGGACCTAACGGAGGACTCAATGGAAGAGGTGAAGTGAGGAGGCCATGGATCGAATACGGACCGGAGAGCCATAGAAGAAGAAGATTAACTAAAAATCAGTATGAAGGAAACCCAGGCATTAAGCCAGCTAATCCATAAAGACAATAACACACAAGAGAATGAGAAGCGTATAATTACGCAGACTTACATATAGAACAAACATGATTGTCTTTGGAAGAGCCAACTATATTATTCTGTGCACTGCCTTGTTTTCTGAATGGTACATCACCATTTTCATCACTGTTAGGTGCAACAGCAAGAAGTGTTGTACCTTCACCATTCACCATTGCTACGTGTCCATCTGGTCCTAAAGTTGCTTCGTTACGAGTCATCAAGTTATGAAGCTCCACCACCTGCAACAAATATGTTACACTTACTGCACACTCCGTATGAGCCGGGATAGCTCAGTCAGTATAGTGACTAGCTACGGGCTGGACGACCGGGGTTCGATCCCCGACGGGGGCAGAGGATTTTTCCTCTAGCCTCTGCGTCCAGACCGGGTCTGGGGCCCACCCAGCCTCCTCTACGATGAGTACCGGGGTTCTTTCCCGGGGGTAAAGCCGGCTGGGGCGTGATGCTGACCACTCACCCCCATCTAGTGCCGAGGTCAAGGCAGAGAGGAGCTATACCTCCTCTCCCCCCAAACGCCTACATGGCGTATAGTGGGACAACTTTACTTTTACTTTACTGCACACTCCACTTTCACATATAATAAAATCTTCTCGGAATACCAGCCAAGGTGGCTTAATGAATAAAACACCGTTTCGAGAACCATCTTCATCCTCGTTCTCAGGGTACCGTGAGAACGAGGGCGAGGACAAAGATGGCCACTTTACACGACTGGTATCCCAAGTAAAATTTATTATACTTAGTCATCGTGAAAGCTACAGATCATACACCCACTTTCAGAATTGATCCTTCTAATGTCATCATAAACTTCATTCCTATTTGCTGTTCTCAGACAATAAAATACTGAAAATTTTTAATACAATTACCTATATAATATGACATGAAACATTGTAACCTTAAATCATGTCAGTATTCTTACCTGGGCCTTCATGAGATCGGTATTTTCCAAATGAACTGTAGAACTTGAATGAAGTACAGTCTGGAACACTCCAAAATTTCCATTCTCAACAGCTTCCAGGTGAATTACATGTTCTTTGCAGGCATCTTTTTGTGCCGCAACCTGCTCACTCACAGTTTCATAGAACTTTGACGCAGAAATATGGCCCAGTGTTTCCGTAACAGTTCTAACTCTTTTTTGTTGAGATAATCTCTCTATGACACGGCTCAGATCTTTTTTAGGTTTAGAATACGCGGTGATACGTGGAATTGATGTTTCTACGTGAGATGATAACGGATCCTCGCTGTCAACAGCTGTTAGGTCAGGAGTCGCATCATTTGTCAGCCACGTCTCAGTACATGGGCCAGGAGGAATTGACTCTGGTTGGATAACTGTAGTACGATCTTCTACCTGTAACAGTACATTTGACGCGTACCTGCCATAAGTAATAACAACTTTTAAAACTTTCTGCTATAGTGCACAGTCATTTAGCTCTAACTAACTAACTAACTAACTAGACGGCTTACCGAACCCGAAGGTTCAGAGATGCTAATTGTAAACAGCATAAAACAGTATGTTGTGACATTACAGCAAGTAAAACATAAGAATAGACATTCAACATAACCACATGATATTTTTGGACTATTTCAGTTAACCATTCAAAGGCCAATGTGACAATTTTTTAAAATTTTATATGGAATAACAAACAGGCCGCTGGTATTACCATATCTGTGTGTGTGTGTGTCCTCTTAATAACCTTTAATCAATACATAGATTTCATAAAATCTGATATAAAACTCATGACATCACAGGTCAGTGTTTTAAACCGGGGGTCGGCAAATCTACCTTAAGACTAGTATTCAAAGTACGCGCTATAACGAAACGGTTGAGTTGAGTAGTTGAGAGAAAGAATTCTATAGCGATGAATACGGTCAATTAAGATCATATGCTCGGGGATTTATATCTGTATTTGGCAGCACCTACCTGTGTGAAAAGACATTTTCAAAGACGAGATATGTAAAATCTCAATACAGGTCAGCGTTAACGGATGAACATTTACAATCAATTTCGATGTTAGGTAGTTTGGTGAAATGTTATCTCATAAACAGGCAATTCCATTCTTCTCATTAGTAGAGCTGTATTTCAAACAATTGTAGTCTACTTATTATTATTACGTTACATTTTGTTCAATAAATTTGTTAAAACTTGGTTTTTACTTGTTACATAAGTAGGCTTACCTATACAAATATCTAAATAGTATTAAAAATATATTAAAATTGGCCGTCAATCACAATATAAGATAATTAAAAGATTAAAATATCATTTTTCGTTCCTTATCGAGTACTCAATTTACATGTGGATAAGGAACGAAAAATGATATTTTAATCTTTTAATTATCTTATATTGTGATTGACGGCCAATTTTAATATATTTTTAATACTATTTAAATAAATCACAATATGACGCACCTACAATATCTTATACAAATATCCTCGAGTTTGCCTCTTAGCCCGCAGAGCCTAAAATATTTACTATTTGGCCCTTTAGAAAAAATGTTTGCCGACCCGTTTTAAACGTTTAACAGAACAATACCAACATGACGCCCATATGTGTTCACAGAGACATAACACCATGTATATTTCCACATGACAGTAACAAATGAAGAACAACTATAACAAAACATAAGAAATTTAGCATGGAGACAGACAAATTTTTGTATGAAACACATTTTTGGTATAAATTACAGGACTGGGCCTATCGACCCGTTTCAGGACAGTTTCTCAAGACTTGTCCTTATTAGTCTTGTAGGGCGCATTTGAGTAGTGAGTGACCAGCCCAACTGACTCTGCATAATTTCTACTCAATCCTCATTTGTTTGCTAGAGCCAAGAAATAAAAAAATTACCAGGTG